CAAGTTGCAGTGCGGGAGGTCTAGGTTGGATATTAGGAAACACTATTTCACTAGGAGGGTGGTGAAGCACTGGAATGGGTTACCTAGGGAGGTGGTAGAATCTCCTTCCTGAGAGGTTTTTAAGGCCCAGCTTGACAAAGCCCTGGCTGGGATGATTTAGTTGGGGATTGGTCTTGCTTTGAGCAGGGGGTTGGACTAGATGACCTCCTGAGGCCCCTTCCAACCCTGATATTCTATGATTCTATGATAACGATACAGATCATTGCGGTATGGGATTTTGGCAGGTAACACTGCCATATATGGTTGTGGCTGAGATGGGCATTGAGCCTCGAGTGCCAGGGTTTGGCTATGACAACACTGAAACTTCTGCATTGTCGCTGAGATTAACTGAAACCTGTGCACACTTTGTATGGATTTAGGGACAGGTTCAGATCTCATTTACTCCAGAGTCACTTGACTTCAGAGAGAGCTGAGTTAAAACTAATCGAGTGTTTTTAAAAAGATCACGTAATTAACCTGTGAAACTCACTGCCACAAGATAGCCATTAAGAGTTTAGCAAAATTAAAAACCCCAACTATGTAGTATGGCTGATCAGCACATGCATAGTTATTTCAGCTGGAGGGAAAGGGGGATGTAAAGCCTCATGCTTCAGGGCATAAGCTAACCTCTGAGAATGGTTAGGAAGAAACTGCCACTGACGGTAGCATTATCCTCTATGGGGTTTCTTACACCTTCCTCTGAAGCATTTGATGCTGGCCACTGACAGGATACTGTACTCCAGCTGAAGCAGCGCTCTGATCTGTGTTCCTGTTTAACTGAGATTGATTCTGGCCTCTGGTAGCTTGACTATCACTTGTTACAACTTTTTTTTTTCTTTATGCCCCTTTCATTGCTGCTAAAATGTGGACACTGCCACGTGCCAATACGTTTTTCAAAATTAGCCGAATTGGGAAAAGGAGACTTTGAAACAAAGGAAAAGTCTTCACTTTCTCAAGTGGAAAAGGTACAAAGTGTTTATAGAATCAGGACGTGTGTACATTTTGTAATGTTTTGCAAAAATCCCCATTATGTGAAAGGGAAGCAGCAGCCGAGTAAGAGTGTCTAGTTTTCAGTTTGATGTACACGCTCAATTTTCATGAAGGGACTTACATGGGGCCTTGCCTGTAGGTATTTGTATAAGCCTAGGGACATTTCTGTGTAACAATCTCATTTAAAGGAAAGTACCTAGTAGCATTGTAAATGTTTTGCAGCAGCTGTACAATTCCTTATGCTCTGTTTTTTGACACATGCATTTCAAAAGCCTTATAAGAGCTTTACAGGCAGAAATACATTGTTTTATGAATGCGTTTGTATTACAAAACAAAATGTAATAAGCTATTTCCAAAGTTCTCATTTAACTATTGGATTCTGTGGAACTGGAGCAGGAAAAATAGACAAGGAATACAGCATTCATGCTTGCTTAGATACTCTAGAGTAGGTTTATCAAGGAGGAAATGTGGTTTGTAGAATTTTGAAGAGCACATAAAGAAACCCAGATGCTAACGAAGCCACAAAGCTGAATTCGTATGACTGTATATTTCCAAGTAGTGTAGTTTGTTTCTTTCCTAGCCAAACTTTTTTGAAAGCTGTAGTATAAAAGCATTTTTAGATAAATAGTGGAGATAAAGGTTAGTATATGGCACTGGTACAACACCAGGAACCATTTTCTCGGGTAGATCAAGTGAACATAATTCCATATTTCATTTTTGCCGATGAAAGAAAGTGTTTTCATGAGTATAGATTGTCAAATGTTGTTGCATTTCTATTACTGCTCTGTACTATCACTGTGTGTGTCTACTGTACAGTGGATTGGCGTGTTGCTTACTTTAGGAGAGACCACTTAACCCTTGCAGGGAAAGTGTTAAAAAACTAGAACACTTGAGACCTGTTAATAATTCACAAATATTGCCATTTTCTATTTTAAAGTAGTTTCTCTGAGAAGAATACCAGGTTTTAGAACTCAGAAGTAGATTGCACAGAACCTGCTTTTTTCCCCACAGCCTTTTCTAGGATTCTGGTAAGCAGTTATGCCTTAATGTAATTTATAATTACAATATCAGAAAAAGTACGTATATGCACAGCAGAACTCCTGTTCCAAGTTTACAATAGCATAATTTGGCATCTAGGAGAAGGAGGGCTTTAAAGAGGAGACTACATTAAAAAAAGTAAGACTTAGCCAAAGGCCTATCTTCAACAAGGTTAGCAAATTGGACAAAAAATCCAAATCAGTCTAGGACTATCGTGATGTACTAAATATCAAACTAAAGAACAATTGCTCTGTTTTTTGTTGCATTCTTTCTCCCCATCCTTCATCTCTGGATTGTCTGTTCAGTCTCTGGAGGGGCAACCACCATCTGTACAGCACCTCAAATCATTCTTATTTGTAACTTCTCAGTAGCGGTGCAAGTTATGTTTTACTTTATGCTCCAGGGGAATTTGATAGGGCTGTTACTTCCCTACTAAAGACCTTCATATTTAGAAACAGGTGACAACTTTAAAAAAAAAAAAGCCCTGCACTGAAACGCTGCATACATGATCTGAGCCACATTCCCCTTTAAAGTATCCAGTGAAAAATATTTGCAAGTCGAACGTGGTAGGATACAGGAAAAATGTGACATGGCCCAACGCTAAGTGAAATGATTTAACTTTCTGTTAGTCCAAAATATAGCCGAGGACCTGCGGGAAGGTTATATGCTGCCTGTGCTGTAGCCAGGCACTCACCACGCCCTGCTTTTTGGAGGCTAACAGACCACTTCTAATTAAAGTCCATTTGTTTTCTGTACATTCATGAAACGGATCCTTGACAAGAAACCCTCTCTAGTCACATAAAGCTTTCGTTTGTTACTATAGTAGTGACGTGCATTTTCCTTTGGTAAAGTTGTAATTGTCCTTTCAAGCCAGAGTATTGTGACATTCGGTTTTGACTGGACACTTTTTACTACACCTTCAGAAGCTCTTATTAAAATCTCCCATTTTCATGTAACCCAGTAGTACATATTCTTAATGACTTATTTTGTTGTGGTAAAAGTGGAATTAGTCCATGAGAACCATTTAAAATTAAGAAAACATTAAGATTTAAAGTAGAAAGACAGTCTTGGCTGTTAAACATTGCTTGTGTGACAAGTGACGTTCAGAAACCATATGGATGAAATTAGATAAAGAGTCAATTAAATTATTTCTTTGAATAAAAGCAAGGCATACAGTTTACTAAGGCAGAATTGATCTGTACCAAATGAAATTTGTGTATTATGCTGTGAAAAGGCAGACTCATTTTGCTAAAGTGCATATAAGGCTTATAGGGAAAATCAGAATTTGATTGCTGAACTACCATTGGAAAACTATGAATAAAACAGACTGACTCATACAGTGACATTTTGGTACTGTGTGTTTTCTTTGTGTTTGACAAAAATAGGAAAAAGGTGGAAGAGTATTTTTTTATATATATATATTCCTGCATAAAAGCCCTACTAAAGCTACTTCAACTATTTTTTTCACACTAAGAGAACAGTGTTGGTTTTCTGAGAAAATAAACATTAGCTTGAAAATTTGCAATTAAGGATAAAATTGATGAGTATGGAAAAGCACTGGTAAAGTCACCCTAACAACCTTAATTCTGCCCCACCACTAGTCAACTCAGTGTAGCCAGTCTGGAATCCAGAGTTTTCCTGTAGAACCAAAGACTTCTGGCATACATGACTTTGGATTTGTACCTCCAGGTCTAATATGTGAAATTCCCCTGCAGTGGTGATTTCTAAACTTAAATATTTTGGCCCCAGATATGGTGACTCAGCATATCACCGTTTTTACATTTGATACTACTTGCTGCTGAGTAATTTTTGATGTAGAACAGTAGAAGCCCGTTCTCTCTAACAACTGCAGGTGATTAGATGGGCAGGAGAATTCTGGTGCAGTGATAATACTTAATTTGGCTTAAAGGTGACAAGTACAAAAATGGGGGTGTACCCTTTTCTCCTTTTTAGAATTTGTATATAAAAGTTTGTGTGTACAAATATTGTGAATTTCACATCTTGCCTTATTGGTTCTGCTGGATGTCTCCCTTAAAGGACTCAGCTGTGGACTGGGAAAGCTCTTAGCCCTTATTTTCACCTGGTAGTGCCAGTCATTCTGGTTTTATTAAATCCATGCGAAAGACTGAATAGCGGGTTTTATAATAAATAAATAAATAGATAGATAGATAGAAAGGAAGCAAATATAAACTACGGTATAACTACGGGGCAGGAGGGCTATGGAAACAGTTTAGTAAAAATGAAAGGGTGTTCTGCTTTGTTTTTTAAACAGAATTAAACTTAACCAATGAGGGGGGAAAAGGGTTTCACAAAGTGTCGTTCAGCTCTGAAATGTGACTTCTGTATTGCTCCGACACCTTAAAAAATTTGGAGAGTTTAGGTTTAGCTACCTACCAGTGCTTCAGACCCATTCTGGGGTTCCTGAGACATGGTTCTCCACTCGTACGTCATCACTTGCAATAAAAGATTCTGCTGGTAAAATTTGCCTGCCTATGTCTGTACACACTTCCTTTGACTTCAGTAGATTTGTCCTGGTGTAGCAGAGGACAGATTTTGATCCAGCTACTGGAACACAGTTAACAATTCCATTGAAGATGCACCAGTCAGAACTGAACCTTGCTCCCTCTTACAGAATGCGTTGGCTCTGCTGTGTTAACAGGAGTAAAAAGTAATAATTAATTTTGTCATTTAGTGGGATAAGATGCTGAATGCTCACACAGGAAGCAGAGCTGAGAGATCATTTCACTTCGTCACTTTCCAGAGTAAAACCACACTTTGACCAACAGAAATACAAAAAAGCATCAGTTTGAAAACGAGCGACGGGATGGATCACTTGATGATTACCTGTTCTGTTCATTACCTCTGGAGCACCTGGCATTGGCCACTGTTGGAAGACAGGATACTGGGCTACATGGACCTTTGGTCTGACCCAGTAGGGCTATTATGTTCTTATATACTGAGTTAAGTGTCTATATTAAAGTCAATTTTGCTTATTACTCCCATTATTTCAGGAGGATCCCTCATGTTATCCTTGCGATGACAGGGTCACTTGGGTATGTGGCACATGCTGCACCTTGAAGACTTTAAACCATGATTTGAGGACTTCAATGGCTCAGACACAGGTTTGATACAGGAGTGGGTGGGTGAGATTCTGTGGCCTGCATTGTGCAGGAGGTCAGACTAGATGATCATAATGGTCCCTTCTGACCTTAAAGTCTATGATTCTATGTAGACTATTTGTAGGAATGAGTGACACTTTTCTGTATAAAAATGAATCCATACATTGTAGCTGTGAGCATATAACGTTTAATATCTGAAAGTGCTACAGTTATTCCAACTATCCCTTTTACAATTATTATGGAGCACAATCTTCCATGATCACTAGCTCCAATAAAGAGAAAATTTCAAATTACTTTCTTTAGGTTTCATTTTAGAAACAGCCTGCTCTATTTCAGTAGACAGTTAAAATGCCATGCTAAATTTGAAGTACTAAGGAGTTTAATTCACAACTCAACATATTTTGCCAGTATAAAATTCACTGATGGTATATTGTTTTATAGTATTGTTTTTATATAAAAACCATCTTCCATCTTAATTATCTCTTATGAAAGGCCTGATTTAGATTAACAGATGTGGCATCTTGGTCCTTCTTAAACTATCCTGCTTCAGGTGTATAAACTATTGTAAAAATACATTTTACCATCACAAATAAACAGGACACATTGCAATATCATGCACTGTGCATAATAAACTTAGAAGACTGGATACAGAACTATCAACACAATTCACACTTGCAAAAGAAGTACTCACCAGTTTGTGTTATACACCACAGCTTTATGTACATAAGTGCACAGAACTGGGGAAAAAGGAGTGTGGCACAATGGCATATTTAGTACAATGACCTCACTGCACAGCCAAGCTAATTGCTGGGGCCTCCTTGTGGCGGATGGTCAGTGCAGATACTCCGTAGGGAAGGGATACCACCATCAGATAAAATGGACTGGTAAAGGATTTAGAGTGGAAATGGTGAGGGTAGGGAGGTTAGGGCTCCGATTATTAGAATAGCAGAGAGTTAACCCCCTGCTTTTTTATAGCCCCACCCCAAAAACCTAACCCTCTACCCTGCGGTGCTGGTGTCCCAGGGTATAGGGGGAGGTGCCTTAAATTGAGCAGATAGCAGGTTGGCTAGGGACCTGGATGGATAATGCGGGAGCCCTCCCTCCACCTCCCGGCTGTATGTAAACAAGTACAGCATTATCAGCTGGGTACTCCCGGACATTTAGGAATAAAGTTGCAGCCTAAGTCAAATCCAGGGTCTCGTGTCCTCCTTCCAGCATAGCTGGACAATGGTTATCCATGTACAGTAAGAACTACAACTAGTGCATAGAACCAATTGATTCTCAAGAAGCAGGGTTAATTCCTCCTGGCAGTACTTGAATCATACAACTCAAGGCCAGCAAGTGGAGTTACATTATCTTGAATACTCAAAGGAGGAGGTTAGGATTCTTGTGAAATGTTGGTCAAGTAGGAAGGAGAAAAGGGAAATTTCAAGCACGTTTTACTTCCACGCTTGCTAAGAAAGCAACTGCAGAATTATTTTTGAAAAAGGCTGCATGTCACTAATGGCATTGATCCAACAGTTCTGAAATAAAAATGGTTTGGGAGGGGATTGGAATAAAATGAGAAATAAAGATTTTATATAAAAATATGGATAAATGATTGAAAACAGAGAGAAAACATTGGCAGCATTTAAAAAAAAAACCAACCGTCTTTATTATTTCAAGGAAACCAATTAAGCGCCTATTATTTAAAAACATCAAAGTTGTAACAGTTTATATCTTCCAAAACATTTGGAGAGGCAGGATCAATTTTCTGAACCCATAACATGCAAATGAAGTGTGTGCATGTTTAACACCACATATGCATGTACATAAATGTGTGTATAAGTTTAACAGGACACACTTAAAATACGTGGAACTAATACAGACTATACAATTTACACAGTTCAATGTTCTTCTAATCCAAATTGCTAGAAAACAAGTTACTGAGTACAAGACAGACCTGATTAAGCTTACCCCTTATTCGTGAGGGTAAAACGGGACAATAAACGGTCAAAAGATTTATTTAAACTTGTAAAAAAAGGCATTAAAAAAATTAAAATCCATGCTTCACCAAATATATTACATCATACAAGTACCAGTAGGTGTGTATTAATTGGCAAATCCTGTTTACCTTCATTACCATCCATTCTTAATGGCATATTTACTCAAAATGTAAAATTGGCTGCACTGGAAAATACTTAATTTAAAATCTGTTTCAAAGTGCATTACTTAAATACGTCCCCAAGAATAATAGCAGTTGCTCTAGATAAAAATAATGTACTGCATTAAATAAAGAGCTCCCATTCAGAAAATTTCTCTCAATGTTCTGATTAAACACAAACATTACACGGCATTTCATTTGGGTTTCTCAACCAGCCTCTGTACCCAAGGCAGCAAAAAGCCTCTCACATTATCTGTCTGACAGATGGATTCCTTTTTAAGATGGATAAATTGTTGGTTGCTCAAAATAAAGTTAATTTTACAATTGATGATTTAGCGAGAGATGTCAAAACACATACAGGAACTGCCAACTTCAGAAAATACCATCACAACTATTGAAGCTCTTTTTGGCCTCATCATAACAGGAACAGACACAAAGAATAAGGCATGTAGATTGATAGCAATTATAAGTCACTCACAATCCTTGGGAGACAGGGAAAATATTCCACCCGCCTCTAAGCATATATATGCAGATCACCTGCCATGAATGGTTTTACATGGCTTTTGTTGCACATCAGACAGAAGTGCGCACTGGGGTGGCTGAGTGAGAAGGAGATGACCCTCTATCTGAGGATGAAGAAATGGATCGTGTAGCAGCTTCTCGCTGCAAGTCTTCCACCTTCTTCTGAAGCTCAGCTCTGATGGCAAGTAACTCCTTAAGATTCTGATGAATTGGCATCTAGGGGTTTAACAGAAGAGAGCTATTTTTATTATAATAATTAGTTAACTTCTCAGTTATTAATACATCTGCTATTTTCTTCTGTTGTGACATGAGAAACCCCTAAGCTTCTTGTGAATTTCATTACATCTCAATATTAGGAGTGACTATTTCTCTATTTAACATCTGAAATGATAAATATTCTAGTCAACTTCCCCTCTCTCCCCGGTCGATCATGACTCAGTTGGTAAGGCCCCTATTCAGAAGGCGGTACACATTTATTGAAGGGATACCCAAAGACAAGGCAGGGGGGAAGTACAGGATGATTAAGGAAAAGCAAGTTACTTTAATAATGTACTTTTAATCAATTTTACCAATATTACTGTCAGTGAATGTATGAAACGCCTTCACCAGGAGTCTCTCATCTCCCATGAGATGAATTTGTTAAAAAATAAATAAAAAGTAAATTAATAATAAATGAAAAGCATTTTGCACCAGAATACAAACACTGGTCCACAATTCAATACCAAAGATGGAATTTAGAAAAAGAGAGGCCATATCCCTCAAAGTTGCCCCATAGTGCTTTGCACAGAAGAGTGACTGGATGCAGTTTAGTCCAACTGGCTGTAGTCTGAGACGGTCCTGTCCTTCTCAGGACCTCCAAATGATCACACAAGGCCTTTTCTTAATCTGTTGCTCCAGAGAACAGCCAACTTACTGTGTTCCTTGGCTCCATTCAAAGAAATTGGATCATTTGCCAATGGAACATATTTCCATGGTTGTGTATAGGGCAGCTTTACAAGCATTCGACCCCTCTCAGCCTGGGATTTAGCATCAGTCATTGTCACAGAGGTAGAAAAATGGCTTTTGCCTGTACAGGCCTCCCAGATTCATGCACTGATAAGCCTTTCGCAGAAGCAGGTTCAGGAGGAGTGGTGTCTTTTGCCCTTTCTGTGGCCTCTGAAGGGAGCCTTGTCTTTGGCTGAGTGCCTTTCCTTGAGTCATAAAAGGCATTGTTTCATGTCTACGTGAAGCAGTGGAACACAGCTGGGCAAGAGGAACACTCCTTTAACCCCATTTTTCTCACTAGATCTGGTGCCCTGGACAAAGCCCAGGGTGATCCTCCAAAGTGCAACAATAATAATGAAACAGCCAGAAAACTGCCAAACTTCAGACTGAGTCTACACTGTACTTTACCAAACTATTTACAACTATCTAGAGTAAGGAAGACAGATATTCTGCAAGTGCTGTCAGAAGAATAGAGAGGAACTCTAGGGCTGTTAGCCTAGAACTATGGAACGTTTGGCTTGAGAGAACTGCATTCATTCCTGACTGCTAGTTACTGCTCAGAAAGGATTCCAGGGCTACAGCGTTAAGCATGAAACTCCTAGAGCTGAGCTGTGTCAAGGAAAGAGGAAGTTTGCTTATGCCACTTCTGATACCCTGGAAGTCACTGGGTCAGCATCCTCCACTCACATGTGGTGATATCAACGGCAACATAAAGAGGGCGCCTTTACAAACCTTCAGCAAGGCAGACAGTCACTGCACACTACCAGGTTCTTGACAGGGCATATTAGAAATACATTTATAACAATTACCTTCCACAGGCAAGTAACACTGAGATGCTGTACCACAGCATGTATATGGGAATTCAATTTAATGGATAGCAAGAATTTTCTTGTAGTGGCCACTAAGTTTTTCAATAAGAAAAAAACTGCTGTTCTACTAGAGTTCATCCTTGTGAATACTCTTCCTACACTAGTGCTCAGGTCCTAAGAGAATGATTTAGCTGTTGGGTTGCACTAGGCCCTGGGCCATTGGGGCTTTCCACGCCTGATTTCTGAACAGCATAATCATAGACCATTGTAACGTGCCACATCTTTCTTTTACGGACTTGACCAGCTTGTCACATATATCACCTACATGTCCCACTGAGCAAGCCAGAATCATGAAAAGCAGTTTCAGACAACAGACTTAGTAGAACCCTGCTATAGATCTGTGCAGGACACACTGTGTGCACATTGCTGAATACAGACATTATGTATAGCGTTTAAAAGAGAGGATGCTGGCTGTATTACTTTTCTGTCCTCCCTAACACCTAAACTAGCAAAGAACACATTACAATCTCATGCACAGTCTGCTTCAATCTGAAAGGATGGTACATGCATAAATTACGTAAAAGTCACAATAATGAAGTCTACAAAATTTAAGACAACTTGCGGCACCATATATTCACATTATAAGCAAAAAAATATGGTCAAAGAACATTAAGGTTCCAAAGTCAAGCATTCAAAAGTTAGGTAATGCCAGAATTAAAGTCATCTGTGTGACTTTAATGTGGCCCCCTTGCGTACGCATTACGATACAGTCTTTAATTACATTACCAAGTACCGTTTTCCCCCACATTTTCCTGCCTCATTCACTGCACAGAATGGATGGTGCTCCGGTAATGGGCAGAAGAGGTTACTCACTTTGTGCAGTAACCACAGGTCTTCGAAATGTGTCTCCCTATGCGCATTCCACTTCAGGTGCCCATGTGCCTCTCAAGCCCTTGATTGGAGATTTTCAGTTAGCAGTGTCCATTCAGCCCATGCATGCATCCCAGGCCTCCTCATGCCAGACACCAAGACTTTATAGGGGTGTGTGGGTGAACTGCCCTCAATTCCTTCTCCCGCCAGATGTCCCCTAGCAGAGAGGAAGAAGGGCGGGTCATGGAGCACCCACAGGGGGGACACATCTCGAAGAACAGTAGTTACTGCACAAGGTGACTACAACTTCTTTGAGCAGTGTCCCTATGGACGCTCCACTTCATGTGACTTCTGAGCAGAATCCACAGATGGAGGAGGGAGTTTCAAAATTGAGACCAGAACTGAAGATACCACTGCAGAAACAAATGTCACTATTTTTTTTTTTTTTTGTTTAATGGAGATATCCCATCTCCTAGAACTGGAAGGGACCTTGAAAGGTCATCGAGTCCAGCCCCCTGCCTTCACTAGCAGGACCAAGTACTGATTTTTGCCCCAAATCCCTTAAGTGGCCCCCTC